CTTATCTAAAACTATTGTTCCTTCTAAGCCTAATCTAAAGTAACCTCAAAAGAAAGATAGAACCTCAACAAGCAAGCCTCAATCTAATACACAAACCAAAAGGTGTTTTAAATGTCAAAGGCTTAGACACATTACTTCAAAATACCCAAATAGGAAGATTATGACTCTAGTAGAGGAAAACTTAGAGAAAAATGAAGAGAAACTGGTTGAAAAGGATCAAAACCTTAAAGAGGAGGAAGAGGTAACCTATGGTGATTATGAAGCATCCTTAGTCATATAATACAACTTAAGTACTGCACTTATTAAGAAAAAAGATTGTTTGCATAAAAATATGTTCCATACTCAGTGTACTGCCCATAGGAAGGTATGTGATATTATAATTGATAGTGAAAGTTTTGAAAACATTGTTTCAACCTTTATGGTGCAAAAATTAAGCCTCAAAGTAATGGATCACCCCCAACCATATAAGCTGTCATAGCTGTAGAAAAAAAATGAAATCAAGGTTAGTAAGAAGTGTTTGGTTCTTTTTTTCATAGAAAATTAATATAATGATGAAGTGTGATGTGATGTAGCTCCAATGGCTACTTACCATTTACTACTTGAAAGACCTTGGCATTATAATAGAAGGGTTATTTATGATGGTTACCATAACACTTACACATTTATGAAGGATGTAAAATCATCCTAAGCCTTACCAAGCTATAGTGATGTCAAAACCAACCAAAGAGGAAAGAAGTATTTTGTTTATCAAGGCCAATTATAGAAAAAAAATTAAGATGGATAGTACTATGTATGCATTGGTGTTGATTGAAAAGAACAAAGATAGTGAAAAGCCCCCTACAGTGATACAACCATTATTGATAAAATTTTAAGATGTTGTTCAAGAGAAGCTACTAGTTAGTCTACCACCAATGAGGGACATTTAATACTGCATAGACCTTATTCCAAGAGCTGTTCTATCTAATAAGGTAGCCTATAGGATGAGTTCTAAAGAGCATGTGGAGTTGTAATGCCAAGTTTATGAATTGGTGAGAAAAAAAATGGTGCATGAAAGCATGAACCCTTATGTAGTCCAAGCCCTTTTGGTGCCTAAGAAGGATGGATCGTGGCGCATATGTATGGATAGTAAAGCAATTAACAAAATCACAATTGACTATCATTTTTCTATTCTGCCCTTAGATGACTTATTGGACCAACTACATGGAGTAACTATTTTTTCCTAGATAGACCTACACAGTGGTTATCATCAAATTAAAATGAGGCTTGGAGATGAGTGAAAAGTAGCCTTCAAGACAAAAGATGGGCTCTATGAATGAATGGTAAAGCCTTTTGGTTTATCCAATGCTCCTAGTATTTTCATTAGATTTATGAATCATATTTTTAAACCTTGTATTGGCAGATTTGTAATAGTTTATTTTGATGATATTCTGGTGTACAGCTAGGATGAAGACCAACACTTGAATCATTTACACCAACTATTTTGCATATTGAAGGAACAAAAATTTATGCTAACCTAAAAAAGTATAGTTTCTTTACTTTCAACCTTGTGTTTCTAGGGTTTGTGGTGTCAAATGAAAGAATAAAGATGGATCTTAGCAAGGTTGAGGTAATTTTAAATTAGCCAACACCAGTATCTCTGCATAATATCCAAAGCTTTCATGGCCTTGCATCTTTTTATAAGCACTTCATTAGGAGTTTTAGCTCCATTGTGGCTCCCAACACTGAATTTTTGAAGAATAAAGTTTTAAGTGGAGTAAAGAAGCCCGACACAGCTTTGAGCTTATCAAGACTAAGATCACTGAAGCTTTTATCTTATCTCTACCAGATTTTGATCAATTGTTCAAGGTAGAATGTGATGCATCCAATTTTGGATTAGATGCTATTTTAAGTCAAGAAAGAAAGCCTATAGTATTTTTCACTAAGAAGTTCAATGATGTCAAGAGAAAGTATTCAACCTATAATAAAGAGTTTTATGCCATATATAGAGCATTATTCCATTGGAGTCAGTATCTTCTTCCCAAGTCATTTGTCCTATATTCAAACCATAAGGCCTTGAAGTTTATCAATAGCTAGCATAAGCTCAACCGAAGACATACGGCTTGGGTGGAGTTCTTTCAAGCCTTCAACTTCACTATCAAACACAAATCAAAAACTCAAAATGTGGTGGCAGATGCTTTGAGTCGAAAGCACTCCTTATTTGGGACTATGACTGTTAAAGTTCTTGAATTTGATGTGATTTATTGTATGATGGATATCTCTTCAAGGCTAATAACCTTTGCATTCCTTTATTTTTCTTAAGATAGGCTTTAATCAATAAAGCTCATGATGGTGCACTGGGTGGACACTTTGAAAGGGATAAGACACTTGCTCTTTTGCAATATAGATTTTATTGGCCAAGAATGGAGGGGGATGTGATGAAACACCTTAAACGATGTAAAGTGTGCCACATTGCCAAGAGTCATGGCCAAAACATTGGATTGTATACTCCACTGCCCATGCCTAATGCTCTTTGAGAGGATGTTAGTTTAGACTTTATGGTTAGACTGCCCAAAACTCAAAGGAATAAAGACTCCATCATGGTGGTTGTGGATAGTTTTTCCAAGATGGCCCATTTTGTTCCTTGTACCAAAACTATAAATGTTTTTCTTGTTTTTGATATGTATTTCAAAAAAATTGTAAGGCTATATGGAGTTCCTAGATCCATGGTGTTTGATCGAGATCTCAAGTTTCTTAGTTATTTTTGATGCACCCCCTAGAGGAAACACGACACCGATCTCAAGTATAGTTTTTCTCATCATCCTCAAACAGATGGTCAAATAGAAGTAATTAACCATAACTTGGGCAACCTTCTAAGAAGTTATATGGGAAAGAATATCAAGTAATGGAATCTTATTTTACCTCAAGTAGAGTTTGCCTACAACCGCTCACTAAGCCAAACCACTGGTTACAACCCTTTTGAGGTGGTGTATAATAAGAATCCAAATAGGCCTTTAGATTTAGTTCCTTTCCCTACTAGTCAACAATTTAATGGAGATGCATAAGAGATGGCTAAGAGTATCAAATGATTGCACGAACAAGTGAGAGCTAAGATTTTACAGCAAAATGAGAAATATAAAAAGGTAGCAAATAAGCATAAAAAATATATGGAGTTCAAAGAAGGTGATTTGGTATGGATTAACTTACAAAAAAAAATTTCTTCCAGGAAAGTTTGGCAAATTACAATCTAAGGCAGATGGTCCATTTAAAGTCCTCCAATGTATTGGAGAGAATGCCTACAAGATAAAGCTTTTCGATACTTATGGAGTATCTTTCACCTTCAATGTTGCTGATTTATCAACTTATCATGACAAAAATAATAGTTCAGACTTGAGGACAAGTTTTTTTTCAACTAGAGGAGATTGACATCGAAGTGTTTGCACATCATACAATTTGGGCTTAGACAAGGCAGACTTATCCAAAAATAAGATGAGTCTATCCTTGATCCAAATCCACACATAAATAAGGTGGACTGAAATAGAGAGATTGCATTCACACTAACTGAAAAAGAAAATTATGAATATGAATGAGATTGTGATCAGGTTCATGAGTAAATGAGTAGATTATGTTCACATACAAATCTCATGATTTTAGGAATGATTCTAGCAATGCAATTTGAAAGTTTCCATGCTTGGAGGGATGTTCCTAACCTATATAGTTTTTATTATTCTTTGGTAAAAGGCAGAACAGAGTTTTATTTATCCTTAGGTAATCTTCTTGATTGTTTTTTAAGTTCTGTATTTCTTAGATGAATTTTCTAGAGTGGTGAACTTTTATTATTCTATATCCTTAATTAGAATTCTTATAGTAGTGTTTCTGTATCCCTTAGTTTCTAGTCTTGGTGGTGAACTTTTATCTCTTTTAATCCAATAATCATATTCTGTCATTGTTTAAATTCTTGTGAGTTATCTTTTTTGTGAGTTTTCTGTTTATAGTTAATCTCCATATCTAAAACATCAATTTTGGCATCACTTAGTAAATAGAGGATTATTAGATTTTTTTTATGCAAAAGAAATGGAAGATAAAAAAAAAAGTAAAAATTATAAATGTTAAAAATCAAATTTTAATTTTATAAAAATTTAACTTTTAAGAAATAATAAATTATTTTAATTAAATCTTAAGTTTGAAAAAACTAGTAGAATAGTAATCTTATTATATTAAATTTTGACACGTAAATTTCTAAAATCAATGGAGAATATCGGTCGCCAAATAAGGGCTATATTTAACATGCATGATACGTCAAACTTGAACGTGGCAAAGAAACAAAATTCCTCATTTCTTTGAAATGTTCAATCAAATCAAAATAATAATTTAAAATTTTAGTTGAGTACAATAAAAGGAAGAGCTTATGAGAAAAACTTGGAAAGGAAAAAAACTACAAAAACATTGTTAATTGTTTCAACCAAAAATCTTTTATTTAAAATTTTGATCTAGCACAATTTCTTGTCGTACTGATAGAAAAAGGCTCGTGAAGGTTTTTTATTTATTTATTTACGTTAATTTAGTTTCTAGTCTAATTATATTTTCAGACATAATTTTACATAATATTAAAGAGCAATATATATTAAATTCCTGCAAATAAAAATATTTCTTAGCCAATTCCTTTATTATTATTTTTATTATATCCCTAATTAAGTGTAATAATTAAATATATCAAATTACTTTAAAAAATGTAACAATAAAAAAAATAAAATAATTACCATACACAATGCTTCCTATCTTCAAGAATTTCTTGATACATATATAACCAATTTGTTCAACCCATCCTCTTTTCAGTCTTCAATCAACTAATTAGCATACACACTAGCTACGGAATTTTTTTCAATGGACAACAATCTTAAACTAACCCTTTTATTTTGGTTTTTGGCGACAAGAGATTTTTTAATTTTATCTAATATATATATATATATATATATTTAGAACTGATTTAAATTAATTTGTTTTCATCGTTTGAGCCAATTCATAATCATCTCACAAACTCTCAATAGATTCACACACTTTTTTTTCACTTTTTATTGCTTGACCTAATAATTACTTCGTTTAAAAAAAAAAAAAAAAAACAACAACAACAGCAGCAAAATTACGCATCGGAAGGGAAGCAATTGCAAAGTTCCCTTCTCCAAATCTTAAACAGCATCGACCAATCAAACAGCACAGAAAAATGAAGTTGGGCTTGGAGGTACTGGGATCTCAACTGTCCCTTCCAACATCAACAGAACCTTTTTCATGGAAGGGCGGAGTGTAGGCTCATCCAGGATACACCATAGTCCCACTCTCACCATCCTTTCCAATTGTTTCTTGTCAACCTCTTCATCATCCTCTACTAGTTTCCGTAGTTCACCAGCTTGGAAACAATGGTAGACCCATTCTTCGAGGACAGCTTCATCCTCAAGAAGACTCCAATTTACACTCCGTCGACAACATATGATCTCCAACAGTACAATTCCAAAGCTGTAAACATCTGCTTTGACTGTCACCGGCAGTTTCCTGTGCCACTCCGGTGCAACATACCCCCTTGTTCCTCTGATCCCAGTGAAGGTTTTGGTTTGGTCTGGCTTTAGAAGCTTGGCCAATCCAAAATCACATATTTTTGCTTGACCCTGTTCATCCATTAGTATATTTTGAGATTTGATGTCGCAATGGATTATTTGAGTCTCACACTCTTCGTGAAGATAGAGGAGACCTCTTGCTATGTTGCGAGCAATTTGCACCCTTTCATTCCAACTAGGTCTTTTTTCAGGTGTGAAGAGTACATCTGCAAGTGATCCATTGACCATGTACTCGTATACCAACAACCTATTAGCCCCTTCGTGGCAATAGCCGATTAGTCGAACTAAATTTCGATGATGAGTTCTACCAATAATTTTCATCTCTGTTTGAAACTCTCGCTCCCCTTGAGATGATACGTTGTCCAATTTCTTCACCGCAACAGCCATCAGGCTATCCGAAATTGTTCCTTTGTAAACTGTCCCGAATGCTCCTTTTCCAATTTCATCCTTGAAACTATTAGTCATCTGCTCAATTTGTGCAAAACTAAATGATATCGGAGCAACATTCTCACACAAGTTTATGTTGGTAATCGTAGAAACCATTTTGTATGTGAAGACATGATTTCTAAAAATCAAAGCCCCAAAAAATACCAACAAAACCGCTAAGCCAATCAATGAAAGACCAATTATTAAAATTACCATACCAGGTTTTTGTTTGCCTTGATCATGTTTTGTTGATTCAGTGGACGCAGATAGACCTATTTTAATCAAAGCAACGTTTTCTTCAGAAACTTTCCATCTCCCAAATCTCAGAGGCAGCCTTTGCTTCCTGCAGTTTCTTTCTTTAAACATGGCAGCTTCACACACACAATCTTCCAGACATGCAGATTTACAATCTTCTTCGGTTAATAAAGACAAATCAGAATATCCATTGTCTTCCCATTCCGTATTATCAACCGCCTGAATGGTGTACTGGTTTCTCTGATCATTCCTATTGCAGCTTTGCATGGCGAAATCCCTTTCGCAGCCAGCACTAGAATTGCCCTTTTTTACCGGAGTGAATCCCGGTATGCATTTGCACTCAGCTCCTTGATCAGTGATAACGCAATAGGCATTAAGGCCGCATAGACCCTTAGGCGCACACCTGTCTGAAGAAGATACATATATCACTGATCCGTTGCCATCCTGATTTAATTTATAAGAATAGATTCGGAAGATGCCATCCGGATCAATTTTCATCAGATAGATTGTTTCATTGGTATCATATCCTCCTATAAATACATCCTTTATGTTGACTCCTGAGGAATTGAGTAAGTACGTATGGCCATCATTGTCGAGATTCAAGCTCACATTATCTCCTGCACCAAATGTACCAGATGCCCAATACGCATACCATGGTGCGGCTGTATAAGTAGCCACCGGGTATTGCAGAAGGTTCCCATCGGTCTGCATGATAAGTTGAAACAATCCTGTCGACTGATCAGTGTCTGAGACGCTAGAGTATAGCGCTGTCCCGGCTAAGAGTTTTTGTCCTGGAAGAATGGTAGTGGTAGGGTGTATAAAGCTCTCCCAGATTTTTTCTTGGTCTGAATTGTATAGAACAAAATTGCCAGAATCAAGCATCGAAGCTGTGGCGACTTTTTCAGTAGAATCAGTAATGGATATATCTCGTGTTGATCGCAGAATGAGCCTTCCATCAGTTGTAAGAATCAAATTAGCGCTGCTTGGAACAGGAGGATCATCTCGGTTGGCCGTCCAAACAACAGTCTTCTGGCGAACTCCAGCAATAAAAATTCCAACAGCATACCCCTTACCTTGCTGATAAAATCCAAAGGCATATAGGCCAGAAGGGGATAGCCATGCAGATTGGCCTCTGGGTGTTAGAGACGAGCCTAGACTTATATTGGAATGCCTTGGTTGAGCTATTGCGGTTGAAATGAAGGAGGTAGACAGAAGAAAAAGTAATAAAATGGCAGCCATGGCCAAAGAGTACAGATTCAATTCCTTTCTCTGGTTTTATGAACTTAGAGTTGTAAAATTGCTAGATTTATACTCGAAAAGTTTCCGATGGCCCGTGAAGAGATGGGTCTGAAATGTCTTTCCATTATTTTCCCATTCAAAACGGTAAGGCCTGAATATTATTGTCTTCGTCAAAAGCCTTACGCATGCACGATTTCTCGTCCACCCGCGGACCAATTCAAAGTATGGGGATATTTAGCAAAGTTTCTGTAAAGATATTTCCTTTGCAACTATTGGGTTTTCGTTTAGAGTTTATATTTGATGTATAAATTTTGTATACTATCAATGAATTAAATAATGTTACTTCATTAATAAATAAATATTAATTTTTAAAATAAATATATAAAAATTAATATTTTAGAAAAACTTATTTATTAATAAGGTAATATCATATTTTTCATTAATAATGTTTAAAATTTATACATTAAAAATGAATCAAATATAAATCTTGAAACGTGTTTATTATAATTAATAAGTTGGCCCTGAAAACGCGTTTTAATAAATACATAGCAACTCTTCAAGAATCTTGTTTCATTTCTCCCTTCCCCACCACCTTATCTTATTTAAAAAAATTCAAACTCAAGTATTCATAAAGTAAAGTATTCATAAAGTCAAGATTTTATATTCACAGAGCAAGTCTAATAAGCAACTCATGGTAATTTGTTCTAAGGTAAATTATTTAAAGAAAAAAAAAAAAACTCCTGTGGTCAGAGGCCAAATAAATTTGATCCTTAAAAATATAAATAGTGCCACGTTATTATAACCTGAGATTTCTTTCATTAATTTCCAAATCAACACTTTAAAAGAACATATATAACATTATTATTGATATATATGACATTGATGGAGATCAGAGTAACTAGAAATTCAAAGAATAAAGTGTAATAAAGCGAGTTTATTAATATCATATCACATAATATTTTAATTTTTTGAAGTATATGTTGGTATCGACATATTATTTTAGATTTTTTTATTTAATACAAATATGTTTATAAATAAATATTAATTTGTATATAATAATAATAATAATAATAATAATAATAATATCTTAAAAAACTAAATAAATAAATTTAAAAATATAAAAAATAATATCATTAATTTATCATGATGTTTTTAAATATTTAATCTGATTATATGACATTTAAATAAATAATTTTTCATGTAAAATTAAGATAAAAATAAAGAGATGAAAAAAATTTAATTTTAACTTTAGGATTCTTAAATTTTAGGGTGAGTACAATTGTTTTTTTTTTTAAAAATTGAAATACTTATAAATATTTGTTTGAAAAAATAAAATGTAAAAAAAAAAAAACATGCGGTAAAAAGTAGAGAAATCCAATTTTTAAGGATTCTTTTACTCATTAGTTTTATTTTTATTAGGTTAAAAAAATAATCAAATAACAAAACAAAATTAAAAATTACATAACATATTTTACATTCAAATACTAACTGCGACAAACTATTCTATCAAAGTTCACCAAAATCAATGGAAACAAATAAAAATATTTGGTTTATCCGGTACAAATTCAATAAAAAAAACCTACCCTTAACTATACCATATTTTAATATAAATGAAGTATATTGACTACTATGGACAATACTAAAACGAAATTTACAACAATGTAACAAAAAAAAAATAAAAGAAAGGGAAATTGATCAACGATTTTGACTTTAAAATTAACCGGAAAAAAATCCTTAAAAAGGATTAGTGCAACTTTTTTTTTTTTAAGCCACGGGGCATATTTTATTATTTGTCTTTAACTGTACGGTGAAATTTTGCACCCAAGTTATAATTTAAAAAGAAAAACAAAAGATGTTACAAATGTTAAGAGAAAATAAAATGCACTTCTATTGTTCAATTATAGCGTCTCTTTGGAACTTAGGGTTTTGTACGAGGAGTTTTCATAGTCTCGTCGGTATGCAAGCGTTCTTAGTTCCAGTATATTAGAGTAGAAACAGGCTGTTAATAACGTGGTTAAGATATCCTGAAGTTCGAATAATTGTGGACGAGTTGGAAAGCAAATGGTCAAAACTAAGGCTAACTGAAGAAGAAAAGAAGGGCATTGAAATTGAGGGGCTGGAAGAAGAATCGAATGCATCGGAGGTCTTTTAGTGAGTGGGGAAACTACTAAGAATATGTTCAATAGGAAAGCAATCATCAATACGTTCCAGATGATAGCCAGAGAGATGACAATGATGGTGTTGGAACCAAACTTATTAATCTTTAAGTTTGGGTCAAAGAGTAATAAGAAGAGAGTTCTCGAAGAGTCGTCATGGTCATTTGAAAAGCACCTTTCAGTTGTTAGAAAGTATGATGGTGATCTAAGGCCAACAGATTACTCTTTTGATGGGCAGCGTTCTGGATTATGGTGCATGGGTTGGCGTTGAAAATGCTGACCAAAGATATGGCAAAAAAGATAGGAATGAAATTGGGAGTATTGAAAGGTGTGGACCAAATCGCTATATTTGGATACATATAAATAAAAAAAATTAAAAAGAAGATACATATATTATTTGTTTGGATAATTAAAATTAACAAAAAAAAATCTAATAACCATTGTTTGGACAAATAACGAAAAGAAAAAAAAAGATTCATTATATATTTTTTTTAATTATAACTATTTTTATAAAATAACATAGAATATATAAATATATTTTTATACTACCTAACTTGTATAAACAAATTTTTTAAATAAAATTGAACATATTTAATACAATAATATATATTAGCTAGTTATTGATTTACTTTTAATTTTATGTTTAATTCAACCTTTTAATTTATTTTGACAATAATTTAACTTGTTTTGTTATTAAAACTTGAAAATTTGTCAAATATTTATAAACTATAACGTTATATAAAATATTCATAAAAAAATTATTTTTATAAAAAATGTCATTTATATAATCAAATCTAATGTCATAATAAAAATATAGATATAATAATCTTTTTATAAAAATAAAATTTTTTCAACTTTCATTTCCTTGGCTTTTTCCCTAATTAGGGTATTAAAAAAGTGAAAATTACAAGGAAAATAAAAAATTATTAAATTTCTACCTCTTTCTTTTTAAATAAAAATTTATCCAAACAAAAAAGAATTTTTCTATTTTCGTTACTCCCCTTTATTTTCCTTTACTTTTTTTTCTTCTCCTCAATCCAAACATAGTGTAACCATTTGTTTTCTATGGTTGGAATCTTCCTGAGAATACGAGTGGAAATAGATATCACAAAGCCTTTGAGAAGGTGTGTTTTTATTGCAGGGAAGAACAAAAGATGGTTTATGGGGGCAATTGAGGTATGAACGTCTCCCAAATTTCTACTATGTATGTGGGAAACTGAGCCATACTAAAATGGATTGTGAAATGGTAGCAGAGTTAGGAAGAGGAGAGGACCAGCAGTATGGGGAGTGGATGCGAACTTCACCAATTAAACGAGGATGCTTGGCTTATATGACCAGAAACCAGTACCCAACACGTAAACAGTACAATGAAGAGAAAGAAAGCCTAGCATGCACACGAGCAAACATGGTAGTGGGGACGTAGGAGGAACAACACCGAAAAAGTGACGCTGAAGGCGAGAGGAAAGGTGGTAGAAGCGACAGAGGAGGGTGAATCGACCAGACACGAAAATAGGAAAGGAAGTAGCGAAATTCCGGGGAATGAGGAGCCTAAATAGAGTGATCATAACAAAGGAGAGGATCAAGGGATTGAGGAAAATCAGGGAAAATGAGGATTTTCAGGGTCAACAAATTACCATTGTAATAAGGGGACAAGTAAGAGCATTGAGAATGCATTAGTGACTTGCATGGGAATGGACGTGGATAAACGGACAGAAAATTTATATGGAAAGAGTGCCTGGGAAATTAAAAAAAAAACATATGAGGTGGCAATCCTGTGTGACGTGGAAGAGGTCCATGAAAATGTAACCAATGGAAAGCAGAAAAACATGACAATTGGAAAGAACACCTGGAAGAAAAAAGCAAGCGTAGTGCATGGCAATAATAAGTAGCTAGACCCCGTTACCATGGGAAAGAGGAAAATGCACGAAATATGTAGTGATCTAATGGCGATTGACCAACAAACAAAGAAAATGTAGAGAAGAGGGGATGGTGGAAGCAAGAAAACCATATCCAACAGTGGAGACTGGCATACAGTCCCGCCGAGAGAAATTAGGTGCATAGCTTAGAACTGTCAGGTCTTGGAAACGCATGTGCTATTCGAGCTCTGTGCGAACTGGTGAAGAGCAAAAATCCCCATATAGTGTTTTTTATGGAAACTAAACTACATGTAAAGAAATTAGATAAGAGTAAAAAAGAGTTCTAGCATGCATGGATGTTTCGGGGTGGACTCGGAGGGAAGTAGTGGGAGATTGGCAATGCTTTGGAGGGATGATATTAAACTAAACTTGCTGAGTTTCTCGAGAAACCGCATCAACATGGAGGTGAGAAAAGCCCAAAAATCGGTCCATGGAGTTGACGGGCTTCTACGAGGAACCTGATGTAAGGAGACACGAGTCGTGAACACTGATGAGGAACTTAGTAGAGCAAGATGATAGGCCATGGCTTGGTTTAGGTGATTTCAACGAATTGTTATGAAGCCATGAAAAGACAGAGGAAACATGAGAAGAGAAAGCCAAATGACAGCTTTTAGGGATGCACTGCAAGTAGGCAATTTGGATGACTTGGGATATGAGGGTCAATGGTATACATGGGAAAGAGGGAGATTACAGGCTACAAACGTTAAGAGAAAGATTAGACCATGGTTTGGGAACAAGAAATGGTGTGACCAGTTTCCAGATTTTGAAGTGCAACGCTTGGCAGCACCTGTCTCCGATCATTGTTCTATCATTGTGAGATCTGAAAAGCATAAAAGGTATGGAAGGAACAGAGGTAATAAAGGATGTGGCTGAAACAGGCAAATTGTGAAGAAGTAGTGAAAGCAGCTTGGGGTAACAATAGCATAGAATCCATACTTGACCAGATGAATAAGGTCAGTGAAAGATTGAGAAAGTGACATGAATCCAATTTTGGTGATACTGGGAGAGGATAGCTATACTCAAGAAAGAAATGAACCAACTGAGCATGAAAACCCCCCTACAGAAACTTTGGATTGCGTTAACCAAATTAGAGGGGAGCTGAATTATTACTTGGAGAAGGA